CCCCATAAAAATTATAGTTTGTTTTATCTTCAGGCTCGGAAATCGTAAAAATTCTACTAAAACAAATTTCTAGAAATTTTTCTCAACATTTATAGTCAGTTTGCGTGATTTTTTGTGTCAGAATTTTCCATTGAATTGCAATATTGACGAGAATTAGGCAAGAGCTAAAGTTTAGCGTGCTAAAGGACAGCTTTGTAGAAGGCAACGGTAAATACTGCTATATCATTAAGATATGGAAACGAAACGTCATTCAAACATTTGTGCTTTTGTGTGTGCGGAACGTTTCTGTGAGCCATGAAGCATGCAGTCTACTTTCGTTTTTACGGAATGTTTCTGTAATGCATCCCAACCATATGAGCGATTATATATACTGTGTATAGGTAAGTAAAATGCATACGAAAAGTTCTTTTACGAAGTAACCATGCATTCGTTTGATTCCGTTTTTCGAACAAATGTTTTCACTCAAAAGTCTATTTTTACTGCTAATTACTCCCTGTTAGTTAGACGCATGCATATTAACATATTCGCCAACGCATGATGTCATCGTTTGCTAAAGTGGAGTTGTTATTCGACTAATTTTATACTATGTGACCTAATTTATAGATGTAAATAACTTGTAATATCTTAGTAATTCCTATCTCTAAAAATCGTTTCGTGTCCATATAGCTTAAAGCTAAGCCGTCATGCATTAACGTTGTCCTCTCCGTTGTCTTCTACGCTTTCCTTCAAACCATCATGCATTAGGCTTTCTTTCAAACCATCATGCCAAGCCATCATGCATTAACGTTGTCCTCTACGCTTTCCTTCAAACTTTTAGCTCTTGGCCGCAATGAAGAAATTTGACACAAGTAAATAATGCCAGCTAACTATATTAAATACTGACAAACACTATTAAGATCTTGGTTTTAGAAGAAGCTTCACGATTTCCGAGCTTATAGCGATAAAGTAAGCTATGTTTTCGAGAGGGCCAAATTTCCGAGGGCGGGACATATTTCCTGGGACACCTGCTTTTCTGGACATATTTGTCCATCTTTGTTTGTGCATTTGCTTATTTTGTTGCAAAAGGAATTTTGGATTTCTCGACTTTATATTTCATCTACTTCGCCCCTTCAGCGCATCTAATACAATACTGGACATTTACGCATTCAATACTGCACACTTTTTACTTTTTATTCAATACTCCACAAAGTGTGCAATACTGCACACAAAAATTGGCCCTGACTCGCACGTTGCAGCGTATATTATATATAGGTGCTTTTCGTGAGGCAATTCAGTATTCTTGTAACTTGCACGTTGCAGCTGTAGTGTATCGCGGTAAATATCGGAAAACACAAGAGTATAGCCGCCTGGTTTGGTGTGTTGTATAACTTGTATATATATTAGTGTACAGTATAATATTAACTTATATTAATATAATTGGGCTGGATACTACATCTCTCCCCATTTTACTATAAAGTTCTCTTAGATCTTGTCTATTTCGATAGACTGTTCTTTATGTAATACGAGTTCGAATGCTCTAAACAAAACTTTTAAATTTCAACATAGCAAGTGTGTCTTTTTTTATATCACTTAGATTAACGTGTCCGTTTATGACGTTTATTAATATCTCAGTCTCTTGGGAGGTTGTCTGTTCCGTTGAGATCTTCTGGGAGGTGGTTGTGCAACTTGTTGCTTCAAGTTGTGTTGGGAATGTGGGATTGGATCATCGGATTCATCGACTGTCGCATCTTCCGGGATGAAGGTAGCTTTGATTTTTCTGAAAAACGAAACGTTGCGGGTATCTTTCTGAGAACCACGTTCAGCAGTGACCATACTTCCTTTTCTCGCTACGACCTTGTAAGGACTTGGATCAAAAGGAGTGGACAACTTGTTTGCTTTAATTTCGGTTGTTGGATTAGGACTGTATCTCCTACTTTTATTTCGCTGGTTTCAGAACATCGTCGTTTGTCATCGTATTCCTTCATCTTTATTTTCTTCTCACTGTCCGTTTCGTGGATGGAATTATCTGCTTCAGGATTGGGAACTTCGGTGAGCTGGGGAAGAAGCGTTTGCAGTTTTCGGCTGTTTAGAGCTTCAGATGGGGATGTGTAGGTGGTGCTGTGTGGAGTTGCACGATGCTGGCGTAGAAATACGTTCATTTCTTGTTTCCAATTCTTTTTCTCTAAATGGACTGTACGGATTGCTTTTTCGAGGGTTCGCATAAAACTTTCGACTTCACCATTAGCTAGGGGCCAATAGGGCGTAACCTTTCTGTGTTGAAAACCAAGGAAACTGGCGAAGTTTGCGAATTCTGCGCTATTGAACGGTGGGCCGTTGTCTGATTTTACGACTTTGGGTATCCCTTGTCTAGAGAAAATACCATCGAGTTTGGGTATGACAGCTGTTGTGGAATGGAGAATTTCGTTTTCCGGAAATCTGCTGAATTCATCAATGACTACAAGTAGTGTTTCGCCCGATGGAAAGGGACCAACGAAGTCAATAGCAATTTCGTTCCATGGTGCTTTTGCTAGTGGGGTTATTTTCAATGGTTCTGGTTTTGCCATGGTACCTTGTGTTGCAGCTTGGCACGGAATACAGTTTTTTATTCTCTCTTGAACCATTCTGTCGATCGACGGGAACCAAACTTTCTCGCGTAGTA